CACCACGTTTAAGATGTCCCAAAATGAAGCTGGTCCCTCCGCAGCCATCAACGGTCCCAGAGGAAAGAGGTTTTCCTCCTCTGTTGGTAGGTGGCCACAGCTCCACACAGATCATCCAAATAATCCATCCGGGAGCATCTTTCCTGGAAAGTATTTCACACTCCTCAATTACGCAGCAGCGCAATGGCCAGCTGGCAGACGAGCACAGCCAAGGTTGCAGACATCCTTATTTCCCTTCCCTATCCTCACGCCAACATCTCTTTTTTCTTGTTTTTGTCTATTTACCAAAACCAGCAGACAATTCGTTTTCGCTCATTTTAAAAAATGAAGCTTGTGTACTCACAGGGACTGCGTAGGAAAAAAAAAAAGGATGAACACGCAAACAAAACGCTGAATTACCACTCTGGAAATTAATTTTAAGAGCCACAAAGCACATTATTCCTGGAAATTGCTTTTATTTAGCAATTATGTTAACACCGCGAGAAGGCAGTTGGCATTGAAAACAAACAGTTCAATTTAAAAACCAGGGAAGTGAATTAACTGCAACTTCAGGGTGCTCACACCTGAATACACTCCACTACCTTGAATGCTTAAGAATCCTCAAAGGCTTAGGTTTTTGTTTGCTGAGAAGAACGGGGATAAAAGGCCAAGAGGAACTGTTTATTTTTCAAGTTATTTATATGTCTTTGCAAATCAAAGTTAAATCCTGACAACAAACCAGCAGGGGAAAATAAAACAACCAAAACCCACTGAAGGAGTCAGTGACAATACTGAGACAGTATTTTAATTTCTTGAAGTTTTTTTTTTCCTGTAAAATGGCTTGTGCTTCCACAGGTCCAACAGCAAAGAAATCATTTCAGTCCATTCCCCACGCCGTATAAAAGACCAATTTTACAAAGATACTCGGAAGTTCTAACACTGTTTAAAGGCAAACATCACTTCTCCATGGTACAGGGCTCGCTATGACCAAGACCTTTCCTATGATCGAGCCTTCCTGGGGCTCTCCATGGTGTATCTGACCCAAAAGGAAAACAAAACCCACCCTGATCACCGTGGCATTCACAGCAGGGACCTCCAGGTGACTCGGAGACTGGTCTGCCCCCCAGGAAAGTGTAACGATGCCCCATTAAATGGAAATATCGATAGTCACTGGTTGCAGCTGTAGTTTGGTTGTCCAAGCAACTCGTGTTTTTGTTCTGCTGTCCATAAATGACAACTCTGATGGAGACAGAGGGTGACGCTCCATCGTCGCTGCCTGCTGAGGCTGACTCCACTGCTCCTGACCACAGCGTCTGCTGCAGGCAAGGGACCGAGAAGAGCCAGGCTCTTCTCGGTGACAAACAATGATAGGACAAGGGGTAACGGACACAAACTGGAACACAGGAGGTTCCACTTCAATTGGAGAAGAAACTTCTTCTCAGTGAGGGTGACAGAGCATGGCCCAGGCTGCCCAGAGAGGTTGTGGAGTCTCCTTCTCTGCAGACATTCAAAACCTGCCTGGACGCCTTCCTGTGTAACCTCATCTGGGTGTTCCTGCTCCGGCAGGGGGATTGGACTGGATGAGCTTTGGAGGTCCCTTCCAATCCCTCACATTCTGGGATTCTGTTCTGTGATTCTGTGTTTGTACCGGGCCTGCAGAGCTACTGCTGCTTTTCATCCTAGCAACTACTCCCCTTCTCCACCCCCCACCCCCCAGCAAAACACCCTTACCTTCTACGTTTTTCCTTTTAATTCACAACACCAAGTGTGAAGACTTGTGAAGAGTGCTTCTAAAAATCAGAATAATGGGAAAACCTGTAAAAGACATTTGTGACTCCCGTTTACATTTTCCTTGAAGGGATAAGCAAGCCTGAAGGTCTCTTTGATTCTCTTCCTTGTTGTTTTCTTTCTTTCCAAGCTATAGTTACTTGTTTACCTGCAACTACATGCAAGTGTAGTTTCAACCACAGTTGAAACCCTCAGTTTCTTTTGGGTGGTCTATGGAGTTAAAAAATAAATAAGTTCACTTCAGAGACGACTGCAGTTTCTCACTATGATACACACAGCACCTCTGCTCCCCGGACAGGCTCTGAGCACAACCCTCAAATTCCAGGAACTGCCAATTAAAACACCAGTGTTGTTGGGAAGATCACGGCTTTTCAGTTTCATTTTAACAAACTGAGGATGCTTTTTTGAGCGTGAACCAGGTCTGAAAGCAGGAACAGCTCCAATCTCATTTCTGATGGGTTCCTGGCATGGCCCTTGCTTCAAGGTGGGTCTGACCCTACTGGAACCGGCTCCACACACACAAACAATCCCACCCTCACAGATTAAAAAACAAAAAGCCTTAATTACTCTGCTAAGACAGTGCTATTACTGTAACCTGAGGCACAAAGTGACCACACTTGAAAAAAATCCATGATTAAAATGCAGTATCATTAACTCTTTTGTACAACTTGGACCACAATTCAAGAGCAACGCTCACCACTCAGTCTCAGTCGTCTACTTAAGACTTCAGCACTATCAGGAAGCTGCCAGGAAAAAGGAATGTGTTACAGCTGCAGTGCGCATGGATATGACAGACTTTGGGGTTGTTTGTTGTTTTTTTTTTTTTAAAAAAGATCAGACACAAAAAATACTTTTAGCAGTCAAAGCTGGTTTTGATGGTTTCGAAGCATTCACAGTCAGCAGTAAGAGGTGACAAGTCCTCACAGAACACATTGCCAGCATTGGAAATGGAACCCAAGAAACACTGAAACACTGAAAGTTTCAACACAAAGTCTGGGGGTGGTTCTCAAGTTTACTCACTGCAAACAGAACCAGTTTTCTTTATCCAGAAACTACTTCTGCCTGTTGAGTTACCAGAGCGGTGAAGGTGTGTGTTTACTGAGACGGGGGAAGAAGAGAGGGATAAGCAGCCAAGCAGTTCCCCATTTGATCAGAGCAGCACATGTGGCAGTAGTGTTTGAGAAAAATAACACTACAAACACCTCTGTCGTCCCAGTAAATCCAGCTCTGCGGGACTCACCCTGGATTTGAATACTGGTTAATGGCAAAGTACCTAGATTCATGCAAAGGAAGCATGGAAGTTTTCCTTCCTGCAGTATTTGTTGCATTATACAGAATTGCCAACAGTGAAAGAAACTTCTCTTGCTTAAAGCAGTCTTTTCCGAAGCACACTTCCCTCAGATACAAACCATCGGCCAGTCTCCCACTCCATGCAAGCCAAACACATCATCACCAGACGGTGTGCCAGCATTTCCAGCAAGGGTTCTTCCAACACCGTACACTCACTTTGCACAGGGTACAGCTACAGGAAGCCCTGAAGCAGCAGTTAAACTGCCACAGCAAAGGAAGAAAGTAAAGCAGCTTAGAGACGCCTGGGAACCTGCACATTTACAATCCATTTATGCTCAGAGGGAGATTACACACATGAGGGCTGATCAGCTCAGCTGCCACCCCAGACCTGTGAAGCCGTGGTACGCGGAGCTCGAGACCACACGGCCTTAATTCAACAAGGAATATTTCCTGAAAGTGTGTTTTCATAGCATTTCTCATGAGAAATAAAGTGAAAACATTTCGCAGAATCCAGCAAGGAGGAGGTGGAGGTGTGCCTGCCTCTCCCAGATGAGGTATATGCTAAATAGAAATAATGCTGTACTATGCATGTGGGACCTGAGGAGCTCGGACTGAATATCAACAAGGAAGAGGCACCTTCACGTTTGTGACAGAAAGCACAACAAGGAATCGAAGGCCAAAGGCGGTTCTTCCTGGTCCGGCTGGGCTGCCACTCTTGATGAAGATTAGCCACAAGGTCACCTTGTGGGAGTAAGGACTCGGGATACGGAATCGCAAGAGGATCTCATGAAAAGGCACTAGGAAGAAGCGTATAGTTTTAGGTTAACAAAATTCGTCCTATTTCCAGTCACTGAGTGGGACAAAAACTGTTCAGTTTGGGATTTTTTTTAGAGAAAATGCTGCAGATTTTTTTTTTTTTTACCAGCAAAAGCATAAAAAGAAAAGTAAAGCTATTTTCAAATTATTAAAATGCTGAACATTTATACAGCAAAAGTATATTAAAAACAGCAGCAGACAAAGTATATCCCATCACCATCGGCAAGGGACATGTAAAATGTTTATAAGGTTAACTATAAAACAATTTTACAACCAAAATATGAACAGGCCAATTCAAGTATCTATATATACAGAATATATTAAAATCATATAAATTATATATTTATACAAAGGGCACAAATATAGCAAAAAGCTATAGTTGGTAGAACAGAACTGAGCTTGAATGATCCATTTCATCTAGAGATGGTATAATAGTCTCCCAGTTGTTTGTTTTTTTTTAAACCTGGATAGATTGATACCTCAGATACCAAGAGTACAGAAAGCAAAAGGAAAAAAAAAAACAAACAGCCACAAATCAAAGAGTTATTCCGTGTGAAATGACACTGAACAGCGGGCGGGGTACGTCTCATATGAAATTCTGATTTAATTATTTCCATAGTAAACATTTATCGGCTCTCTCAAAAAGTCAGGAATTTCAAGTGATCCACTTCAGTGCACCGCCCTGGTGCACATATTTGATTACATTTGACTGTTGTTTGATTTGCAAACATTTGATGGGGAAAAAAAAAAAGTGGATACAAACACATCTCAATCTGCAAGAAAAAGGTGACAGATGGCAGCAAGTTGAAAACCAAACAAAAATGCTCAGCTGAACTAGAAACCATGCTCTCCTTACAGCATGTTGGCTAGTAAGTGAGCTTAAATAAAAAATAACTTACTTTCAATTGCTTTTTTTATTTCAAAACATGACAGCAGATAACCACAATCCACTGAAGCACTTGAGAATCTAAACGGTCCCATCCAAGGGCTTATATTTAAACATGAACTGAGTGCTTGCCTGAATCCAGGTCTATGTAAGTAAGTTCTGTATAAGCCGTACCTCAACCTTCTGTCTTGCTGCGGCACTTCCCCTTCATCAATGTGGTTTTTAAAGGCTCGCTACGTCTCAATGAACCCAACAGTTCTGGGCATGCAAGGAGCAGTTAGGGCAAGCTAAGTTAGGCAGAAATAAAAAGGGTACGCTACACATGTACAGAACATTGGAGTTAAAAAACCAGAACTAAGTATGTAAGAAAGGAAAACAGCTTCACCAGATGCAGGTTAAATGCATTAAAAAAAAAAAAGAAAGAAAAAAACGCGGCCATATACCATACATAATGAACAGTGGACATCTATTACACTGAAAGGAAATCAATGCAAACAGGATTTCCTCAGTTTCAAGTAATCCTTGATGCCTTTTTGGCCAGCTGTGTTACACCACAATAGATATTTTAATAGCTTTTATACTATACAATTTAGGCAGCTAATTTTTCTCTTACATATCCAATTACCTCTAGTGAACATTCACCTCTGGTTGTCCACACATTCTGTATTAGCTCCTTGAGAAACTCTTCAAGTTAAATTATACTGCAAATTAAAGACAGTTACATTCCGCACGTTCCTTCTAGATTTGAAAAATAGGTTTTAAAGGCTTGTCAAAGTTTAGAAGAAAAAACCTTTCCATTAAAAAATCTTAGCTTAAAAAAAAAATCATTAGGACACCTTTTACTGATCCAGGGTTCTAATAAAAAGATTACAAATATACTACAATTTGACCAAGAAGACTTCATGAATATGCTGCTTTTGAGCATGCAACACCACTGATATCTGTCTCGTTCCAGGTATCAATGTATCCCGTTCCACCACAGTTCCTCACCATTTCCTCCTCAGTTCCCCATCCCCACCCCTATCACCCTATTAATAACATTATAAAAAAAGGTAAAATCTAAAGTTAGTGGCAAAATCTTCACAGTAAATTGTTAAAGGAAAAAAAAAAATTTATTGTGGTCATCGCAAAGTGGTATCAGTCAATTGGACCCTGAAAAATCAGCTTGATGCAGTTGTGTTCCCCAGTCAGCTGTGTCGCACAAAAAGGGCAGGCAGCATGAAATGCATGAGTACCATGGGGCAGGGGGATTTGAGACCAGTATTTTGCAGTTTTCTCAGAGCACACGTGTCCACACGGGGTAAAAGCATGAGTTGGAGGCCCAGCATCCACATAAAAGCCTGCTTCACAACCAAGCCAGAGAGGCACATAGGGGCCAATGGTTCTGCACATCGGACATTCCCGCTCGTTGGCTTCTGTGTCACTGCGGTGTCCCCAGTTGTGATAGCCGTGAACGTGCCCACAGCTGAGGTATGCCCAAGGCTGCTTCTCTTCCACCACATCTTTACGGTTGATGCTGGGAAATGCTAAAGTGTTTAACCCGACAGGACACTGTGGTCTGGCGGCGTTTATCTCCTGTCGCAAAGCTTCGATGTGTTTCTGAGTTGGAGTGTGAAAGAGTCCATCTGCTGTCCTCCACAGAAGGGTGGCTCCACACAGGTCGATGAGAGAGCCATCCTGTAGGACGTTGGTCTCATTTTCTACCTAGTAGGGGAACACAGGGATAAGTAGATAAGCCCGAGAGCTTTTACTGATAACTTAATTCTGCAAATGTGTCATCCTTTTTGGCAAATCACTACCCTAACATGCTACCTAATTCTGTCTTAGAATTTCCTTGTGGACCCCATTTGTCTGAATCCATCTCATATCCTATATTTAAGATTATAGTAAGCATGGGTTTCTTATTCTGTACTTGTACAGGAGGCCCTAAATTTGCAACCATTCCATGCTATGGCAACGCTAATCATTATACACAATTTTTCCTCCTGTAGCTCTTTGGGAGACGTATGACATTAGTAATCACCAACTTCTCCACAAACACTCCCCACCTCTAAGCATGCTATTTTTCCTCTCCAGGTTCGATTCTCCATACGCCCCTGTCCTGTTTCAAGTAAGTCATGGTAGACTGAGAAGGAAACTTGCCATTCCCTAAGGGCAGTATAAGCAGATGGCTCCCCTGGAATTCCTTGCCCGTTGCAGACTGGCAGAGGCTGCTTGCTCAGCAGATCCTTTTTGGAATAAAACCTGCTACTCAGGACAGAGCAGCTGTCCTGCTACTCAAATACCGTACTTTTGGGGCTTGTGGCAAGTGTAAAGCACTTTGCAGAAGCGTGAACTCCCACAGTGAACCTCACCAACAGTGCAACTCCACAGATGTATTAGAGATAAACAACAAACGTGATCCCAGCTACACACCATGTATCGGCATGGATTTCTATTCTAGCAGTGAATTACCAGTTGAATTTCTCAAGTGACAGGTTCTGCAGCTGAAGCCACACAGGCTCAGCTTCTGAACAACTTCTGAACTACCCCAACTATTCAGGCCCTTTATTTAAGGGCCTTAATTCCATGCAATTACAGCCCCAATGTGCATTGCCTAAAGGCTTCTCTCATCTGACTGAAAGCAGCCACAACATTTTCAAGGGATTATATCAAACGCACATTTTACTTTGCTGAAATATTCTTTAACTTTGTTTAATGTCACAAACATATAAGCAACTTGTGCTATTTCTATCAGTTCAGTAATTAAATATAAATTTTAAAAGGTTCTTCATGAAATTAAAGAGGAAAACAGACCTACTGCCTGGCTTTATACAGAGAAAGTACATAGAAAATACTACTAAAGCAAAACAAATACCCTGGACGTTAAGTAGGTCACATGAAATCATCATGTCAGCCTAAGAATACTATGAATGACAACCAATTTGGCATTTACATTTTAATCCAGTTTAAATTCACAGATTAACTGTGGATCATCTCTGCACAAAACACCTAGATGGCACAACACAGCCAAAAGGTCACCAGTTTACAGTAATGCCAGCAGAAGTCAGTAGTTCAAGCACAGATGAGAGAAGCCTTGATGTGATGCACTTTTCCAATGATTCCTTCACAAAGTAACAAGCTTTCTCCTATGCAATGTGCTCAGTTCATTATACAGTGTGCATTTGGTTTTATGAACTCAATCAACGAATACTGATCACATCAATACCAGTGTGCCATGTAATTTTATTTAAATGAGAACTCGAGTCATTCTGGCTGCAAGGAAGGGAATTTATTTGTTTTAGTATTGCCTTTCTTTAGTAGCACTAAAAAGGTGTTTTGCTAACCATGTACAAAGGGTGCAATTGCAGCATCATCTGTCTCAGTCCCAGAGGCGATGATTGCCTGCCACCATTAAAGTGACAAAACAATTTACGGACTGCAGGCTGCCTAAGAGCAGAACGAAATAGCCAAATTCCATTTCCTTAACTCCTTTAAGCAGTCACTTTCCTGCAAAGCCAATGGCAAAGCTGGAAGGTCAGTTCAGCGCCAGTATGTGTGGTACCTTCTAACACCATCAAGCTACTGGGAACTCAAGGTAGCAGCAGCAAAGCAACTTTGGCATGAAGAAAAGGAAGATATTCCCATCGCCATGTACAATGTCGCAGTTTTTAAAGTCTAGCAGCTGAAAGATAAAGTGACAAAAGGAGCACCTTTATTTGCTGTGAAGGCTCTCAGAACATCCTCATTTCCTGAGCCCTAGCAAGGAGCAGAAGGGGTGAGTCAGGAGGGCTTTTCCAGGTCTGTAGCCACGATAGCATTCTCCTTTCTAGGCTCCAGAGATTTTGGGAAAGGGAAAGGACCCTGGGAAGGAGGAGCTTTGGGAATTCCCTCCTTGCTTCTATGGAGAAGCAGACACATTCTTTCATGGGAACCTCTCTCCTGGTTACATATGCCACAGGTCTCTGGCAGCTGAAATCTCTCACTTTTGGTAAAGGCAAAGCCCATCCTGCTCCATAGGACACTAGAGGAATACACTTAGCAGGGTTCCTCTTACCTTCCTAGTGGCAGGTAAAACAAACAAGCTGCATTATGCAAACCTGTTTTGCCTGCAAATGGATTCTTCCTTTCAAGGTAGCACTGCAAAAAACAGCTCTCTGTGTGGCAACTTCCAGATGTCCCCATGTCCCAGGAGGACATTTCAGAGATGGAGGTTCAAGAGCACACTTTATTTAGCTTTTACACTCTGTGCTATTTCAGTTGGAAAAGTGACATTAGCAAAATAAATTAAGAGTATTCTCCTGTATAAACGGAAACAGAAGAGCAGTACACAGTGTACTGTAACGCACAGCTACTTTGATGATGCCAGTGACCCTATGACTGCATCCGTTCGGTGCCAGAAAAGCAAGTATCCCTTGTTTTGTTTTCATTACCAGTTCCTTTCACCTTACCAGTTTCCCCCTTTGCTGAGCAGATCTGGTTTCCCGCAGAGTGTACACATCGCCACAGACTGAGATTTCCTGCCAGACTCCAGGTTTAGACTCCTCCGTGAACCCTCCTTTCGGATGCATGACCAGCACCCCATTAGTCGTCAACCCATCCATGTGGCCATCAGGATTTTTCCACTTTGCTGCTTTTTCCTGCGTGTGACAACCGCCCCAGGAAGGAAAGAGTTTGTCTACAAGTTTATAGACTAAAGTTTTACACACTAAAGTTTTACTAGCGCTGTCTAAACACAACGTTTCTTCATTGGCAACAGTGATTAGACACAGATTTACAAAAAAAAGCATTTTTAAGAATACCTTGTGCCACAGTGATAAAGTCTTTTGCTCATAGGTCTTCGATTACTATTCAATCTTAAATATTATTGATTTGAACACAGTTGAGCGTCTCTGACTGCAAGTCAGGTAAGAGTTAAGGCCTCAGAGGTCAGTAGCATAGATACGCTGAAGTACTGTATTGCGAGGGGCACATCCTTTTCCATAAGGCAGCTCACGAGCTCCTTGGTGTTCAGCACTAAGAACTGCAACAGCAGCTTTTTCACATGGACTATCAAGAATATATCAAACAAATCCAAAGAAAACCCATTAACAGTTACTAAAGTAGAGTTTCATTGTTAAAAGACAATTACGACCATGAGTCCATGCTGGTAATAAATCAGGCCCATAAAACTGCAGTGTCTACTTAACAGTGCAGCTGGTACACTGGAGTAACAAAAGTCAAACGACAGTGTAAGTTATCAGCTACTACAAGGAAGTTTGGGAGCTTGAAAAGAACAGAGAATAAACCCCAAGATTGCCTGTACATAATTATTAGCAGTACTTACCCCAAGAAAGATATTTTTAGACGAGTCAAATCCAGCTGCAAAAATCCTTGCCGTATATGGGGGGCTCCTGTCACAAACAATCCTGCACGCAAAACGGGAGATTGTGCTCTGCGTAATCTGGGTTTCGTCGTTATTTTGACTTCCAGAAATCGTATCTGTTACTACAAAGTCTATGGGGCTCTCTGTTGACCGCCCAACCTGCAAAAAAATTAAGAAAACAGGTTTTTTTAGAAAAAGCCATAGGAAGAGCAAGCATCGCAGACCAAATTTTGCCAAGTTCATGTTGATGACATCAGTCAACTACTTTCTACTGAATTATTGGATGGCAAGATCCAACCAGAGACTCATCTGTATTACCATGTTTGTCCTAGGCAGGAATACCTCACTGACATGGCAGGACAAACTGTCACCTACTACAGCAGAGGCACATGCTTGCCCAACACAGCTCCAATTAATTGTTTGACAGAGTTCTGTCAACAACATGGAGGTCTCATCACCTTGCTATTTCATAGTCCAACTGCAGCAAGTTATTTACCACCATCTTCTGTCAATTAAGAAAACGCCAGCTTGAAATGACAAGTTTTATTCACATTTCTAGTTCCAAGTTAATTTGCCATGAAAATAAAGGACTCCAAGACCCAGAACTCTGTTATTTTGATACATCGTAACAAAAAGCTACCCACCTTCATGTTTTCAGAATTTGTAGTTCCAGAATAGAAGAATGTGCTGATAAAACCCACCATACGATTGAATTTATTCATAATCATGGGCATGCGTGACTACAGAAATTTAAAGACTCTCTTCAGCAGAAATAACCATAACTGACCAGTAGACAAGAATATTTTCCTATCTTGCCAACTACAAATTTTAATTCCAAAACAGGAAACATCTAGGCATCTGCGCCAGCACTGTGCCCACGTGGCCAGAAAAGCCAACGACATCTTGGCCTGTATTAAAAACAGCGTGACCAGCAGGGCCAGGGAGGTGATCATCCCCTTGTACTCAGCACTGGTGAGGCCGCACCTCGAGTGCTGTGTTCAGTTCTGGGCCCCTCACTAGAAGAAGGATGTTGAGATTCTGGAGCGTGTTCAGAGAAGAGCCACAAGGATGGGGAGGGCTCTGGAGAACAAGCCTGATGAGGAGCGGCTGAGGGAACTGGGCTTGTTTAGCCTGGAGAAGAGAAGGCTGAGGGGAGACCTCATCACCACCTACAACTGCCTCAAGGGAGCTTGGAGAGAGGTGGGTGCTGGGCTCTTCTCCCAGGTGATGGGGGATAGAACAAGGGGAAACGGCACCAAGCTGTGCCAAGGGAGGTTCAGGTTAGAGATAAGGAAGAAGTTCTTTACTGAGAGGGTCGTCAGAAGCTGGAACAGGCTGCCCAGGGAGGTGGTGGAGTCACCATCCCTGGCTGTGTTTAAAGAGCGGGTAGACGAGGTACTTAGGGATATGGTTTAGGGGGTAGACAGGAGCGGTTGGACGTGATGATCTCGGAGGGCTTTTCCAACCGAGCCATTCTGTGATTCTGTGAAGATGGATGGAGGGATCTGTCGACTGAACGTACAGCAAGACTTTATCAACTGAGGCAAATCAGTGCTATTCCAACTTTCAGCATAACTGGGAAAACGGAGCTGAAGTACAAGGAGTGGAACAGAATATTTACTATACAGACACCTTGTGATCAAACAAAAGAAAATTAAGAATATTCTTCATGTGAAACTGCCTTCAATATCAAGAATCTACATTTATATTAAATAACCTCCTCACTAAGCATGATCTCATTCTGCTTAGTTTCTTGCTCTTCCAAGCCAGCCATGGGAACACGTGTGTGGTTTCATCATTAACAAATATCTCTGCAAACTAAATTCGCTGTGCCTGCTTAAACAGTTAAGAAACATGAATCAAGAGGGAAGGAAAGTGATTAATACTTAAACATTATCATCACTGAACTGATAGCGACGGTACAGGGATCCCTCCCGTACTTCTCTTCTGCTTTCAGTTCCACTGTGCAGTGTTAAACTCCAATATAAAATTCATGCCTCGAGTGACAAATCCAGTTACCTCCTCCATATCACGGGTCTCAACCCGAGTACAAAATGTGATGAGCTTGCTGCAGATAAAGCACCAAGGAAATACTAAAAAAGGCCTCATCAAAAACACTTTCTGTGAAAAACTGAAGTGCATAAAGTGACTATTAGAATACCCAGGAGACAGAGTTTAGAGACTTATTTAATACGGGACATTTCTGATTTATATAACCTGACAAGTTGAAGCTAAAACTTATAAAGCTGTATTCTTCTTCTTCCTTGTACAGTGCTATTTCTAACAGGCTTCTGTTTCCCATCCAATGCAATTCCTGCCAAGAGTCAACACTGACCAGCAGCAGGAAGCTTATTCATGACTTCTGACTATTCTCTATCTCAATGTGAAGTTTCTTAAAGGATAATCAATAACAAACATGAAATAAGTTTGTTCATAACAAGTTTTTCCTTGTTTTAGTCTCTCAAAGCTTTTAGGAGCAATAAGGTACCTTATTGGCCCTTAAAGGATGAAACAAACACAAGTGCATGCTCCCAGAGTTCCTCCCATCATACCAATCAGTCAACATGAAAGGGGTCGGACTCGGGGATCTCTAAGGTCTCTTCCAACACAACCCATTCTATGAATGATATGAGCATTAAAAATCTATATACAAAGCTTTTATGTGTTTTTTTAAAAAGTCTCTGAAATTACATGTACTATTTTAAGCAACAAAGCAATTATCTATACATCTGATTTGTGTCACAAGTGTGGCTATGCAGTGTCCAATATTTTAAATATCTCATTTTCTTTTGATTTTCTTTTTCCTTTTGAAAAAGCCTTCTAGAGGATCAGTCCCGTGTATTGTGCTACATTTCAACACTGGAAATTATTTTAAGTGGCCTTCAAAACATGCCAATTTTCCCATTCTCCATAAAAATTCAAAATTTGGGGCTTGAGATCATCAGATACAAAAGCTCCTCAGGAACAAATCAAGAACCTGATGCTACGAACATTTATCCTCCAAAAAATTTAACCCATCTGATGCTGCAGTCAGAGCACAGTCACCACAGACCTAGTTCTACCAGTCAAAGCTGTTCTTTACAGACTTCATTACTCATTTTTCTTCCATTTTCCTCTATAGCACAGAAGACTTTCTTCTTTTAAGTAATTTTAAGACTATATTTTGGGACTCTTCCTGTTAACGGTGTCATATTCCATATTATTTCACTAAGTTACCTCCAATAACAAACCATAAATCTTCCAACTGATGCATTAGACAGCTTTTCTTGCCTACACTCCAGGTTATTGTTAAAAGCTGTGTAAAAGCCAGGCACTCAATCAATTTGCCAGTGTCTGTTGTCAGTCAAGGAATTGCTATTAAAAACGCCCACTCCTCAGACAAGGCAAAACCAGCCAACCTGCCAGCAGATAATTTAACAGCTGCAGATTCTTGGACTTCAGAGAGTTTCTCTCTGACGATAGGGAGAATTGGGCCATGCATGTTCTGAAGGGCTGCTCTTCAGGAAAAAAAAACGAAAGTCAGTTCTTCATATTGAATGTACCTGCTTCTTGCATAAACTTGTAGCTATTTAAGCTGTTGGCTACACATTCTGGCTCCTTGTAGTTGTACAAATAGCTACAGTCAACCCATTTTTGCCCAATCAAACCATGAAGGAAGATGCTGCTTCAACTGATGCATCATCAACAGAATAGTTACTAAAGTCTGAAGAAAATCTTCGTTTTTCACAGCATAGAGATGCTGCAGCATACGGACTTTGGGAGACGCCACATGGAGCATGTCAGTACATTCTTTCTGTTCTTACAGTGTCTCACCCTGTGCAAATTCCTCCTTTAGTGAGCATCAATGGATATCTCAGGGGTGCAGGGGAAAATAATCCCTGGTTTAGATGCAAAGCATCCTTCATCAGCTCCCTTAACCTACTGCCTTTGATGAGGGTCACTTGCTTTGCCTGTGCTGCATCTCCTCACCTCAGGTTGTGAGATTTCATTCGAGTGACAGCTGAGCACCTCAATGTACCTAATTCTTTATCAATACCCCCCAAGGAAAAGCTGCACAAAACCCTAGTGGCGGTTACAATCAAGAAAAGAGCTGTCTATACAATATGACCAGAAAAGCAACCGTTCTGCAACTCTTCTTTATTCATTTTTTTGGTGTACACAAGAAGTGGAAAAATCCCAGCTTTCAAAAATGGCGTTTCAAAATTTGCATACAGGAAAAGGCACAAAAGCATCTCGCAGAGATAAACCCAGAGGATGGGTTACATTTTTCTTGCACTAGTCAACATAGAAAAACCTATTTCAGTTCGCTCTGGCTGCGCAATCCTTCATTGGCAGCAGGAAATGAGCACAACTGGTTTTTAATCCATCTCTGTTTGGACCTAATAATTCTGAAGTCACACTGGGAAAATTTTATATAGAGCAAAAAAGGGAACACATGAAGCAAAGGCATCTTGGCAGAATTATTTCCTCTTCTGTCAGCACCACTCAACTGCTGACCCTTCTACATATTAAGGACTAAATGAGGGGGGATAACGATTTATGGTGAGATGCTCTAATTATAGAGGTTAGTCAAGACACACCTGATTAGTCCAGATTAATGTATTACACAAAGTCTTACCTGAAACATGTCTGTATCTTTGTCGTGAGTATACTCCACCACGACAGTCTGGTTTCTGGATAACGTGTAAGAGATGCTGTGCTGACCTTTACAGCTGATCGCCTGTTGAATAAGAAGAAATATGTCTATTACACACAGCTTCCACATAAATATTATAATCAAATTCATTTCACTATATAAACACCTTCACTGTGATCAAGAAAAGCAGTGTATCGTAACATTTTATTACAAGGCTGGGTAAACACATACAACAGCATTTTTTGTTGCATTTTTAATGGAAAGCCCCAAGGTGCACTTGCTTTTTTCTAGCTCAAAAGTACCCAACACTTGCCATTTTTCCAGCTTAGACTCCAAACACATGGTTTTCTCTCTGAAATTATATTAAGTTCCTAACCCTCGTAGGAACTTGTACCCCAGCAAAGACTTGGGGGTTAGGATTCTTTGGTTTATTTGTTTGTTTTTAAAGCAAGTGAGCAATACAATTGATTTCCAGTTAAAAGTGCCGGGATTTCAGGGATATCATTACAATTAAGTAGATTTCTAGTTATATCAGAAAGAGCCTACCGATTTTATATAAATCATGACAAAGAGAGAGCACTTTCAACCTGTTTTTCCCCATTAAAGGGTGCTACTTACTATTTGTCAAAGGAAACTGATCCCTATAGATAGGGATATAGAGTAAATATATTTAAAACAAGACTAGACTTTTTCTCAAGTCTAAAGACTAATGCTTTAAATGATTAAGTGGTGTCAAAGTGTAATTGCAGCAGCCGTACGATGGAAATGCAGTAGTAAAAGCTTCAGGTCAGAAGCAGAGATACTAAATCTACTGGCTAACAGAAAAATACATGTAAATATAAGGTCTGTATAACTGTACACTATGATGAAAGGTAATGACTGTTACTGCTCAGAAAACACTTTGCAGACACTGAAGTATTGAATTAATAGGTTAATGAAAGCTTTCTGCAGTTTTCTGCTAAGGGGGGGTCATTTTCTAGAAGAGGTTCTCTCACTGGCTCCATTCCTTCACACTGCTCTTGACCTCCAAAACTGACAGAGATGACAGGGATAGCGATAGAAAGAGGGGGAATGGTTTTAAACTGGAAGCGGGAAGATTTAGATTACATATTAGGAAGAAATTCTTCACTGTGAGGCCCTGGCCCAGGTTGCCCAAGGAAGCTGTGGATGCCCCCTCCCTGGCAGTGCCCAAGGCCAGGTTGGATGGGGCTTTGGGCAACCTGGGCTGGTGGAGGTGTCCCTGCCCACGGCAGGGGGCTGGGCTGGGCGGGCTTTAAGGTGCCTTCCAACCTAAACCATTCTATGATTCTATGATTAAACCAAGCCACCAAGTATATTCTACTCATCTGTCTCGTCTCTCACAAAAGCCTAAACGATCCCAACGTTACAGATTAACGGAAGATGATAACAAAACTTCAAGCCACAAAGTCTAGTTCTCCTGAATTTGTTCTACCATTTGTAACAGCTGAAAAGCGAGGCAAATGTACTTGTTAGTCAGCAGCATCCAGATTCTGTATTTCCCAGTTTGAATTTCTGGCGTTTCATAATAACCGTTGCGGTGGCACACAGGATGTTGCAAGAGCAAACAGCATCTTGAGATGCAATTCAAATGAAGGCACTAACACTTTGTGACCTGCTAGGACACCAAGCTGTACATCTTAAGTGTGTATCTAGAGCTTTTCCTCCATGTATGTTTGACAGCCAACAAGGGGTCTTGAGCCCTGAGCAGATCTTAGGTGGTCCTAGGCTATAAATAAAGTGATGAACAGAACACCCATACACCTTGCATTTTAAGCATAATATGGCAATAATCACTTTACATTCATATTACCAGACAAGGAACAGGATCAACAGAAACTCTGGTGAGACCCAAAACCAAATGTTTTATGGTCCAACAGAAAAAAAACAAGGGGGGAAATGTAAGAACTTCCAGAATTACTTCATAAGGTCATGTCCTATGCCTACAGAATTTAAGGCTTATATATGTTAACAATTTCCATCAGGTTGAGCAGGGTCAGTATCTTCTCTGAAATATTAGGGTAGTACAATCCTTCTTTTCCGTGTATGTTCTTTTCCTCTCCCAACTTTTCTTCTCTATCTTATTTCCCCCTTCTTCATTTTCCACTATGTAACCCCAGTTATTTTCAGTGTGAGATGCCTCATTTCATTTCCTGGAATTGTGTAATCATTTTTCAAAAAGCTAAGAACATTGTAAGAAACATTTCAACTTGCATGCTTTCACAGACTACTCTCATCAACAACAGTTGCTCCAATTCAAAGACATTTTACAGGCATTGTAATTGCTGGTCTCAAAGCAACTGGCCCCTTCCGATTAAAAACAACAACCAACCCAAGTGGCAGTATTTTAGGAAGTACACAAAAGAGAAGAACTATGAACTATTCACAATGGCTGTGACAAGTGAGTACCTTAAACAAGGTAAGTATCTCAGTGAAACAGTGCTGTAAGTGGAATGCAGCCACAGACAAAACAACGAAGGATTCTGACAGCCTGAGGAGCTACAGAACCACAGTACTACAAGTCCCAGAAAAGTCTGGAGATCGATTGCCCACAGCCCATTATAATTCTTACTGGTTTGTAGCAACCAAAATAGCAAGGCTGCCTTTTTACTGCTTTTAGCATTCAGATTCCTAGACTTTATTTTTCTGCCAGTAGGATTTTCCTCTCAAAAAACCTGGATGCTGTCACAGAATTGCACGGCTGCACTAACTGAAGCTGTGAGAAAAGCCCTGACTCTCACAGGAGATACGGTAGCATCACAAGTTACAGCAGATTACTTCAGTTTCAAGCTGGACACCACCACTTTCCACCTTCCAGATAGGAATTAAATCAGAAAAGAATAAAAACCTGGCAGTAAACCTTACCTACATCTCCTCACCTCCACCTTAAGGTTGCCAAGATGCAACACAGCAATAGTGTGTATTCTCAAAGCTTGTACTCAGAGTCTTTTGAGTGTAGGGGCCAACATCGGCTTAATTTGAGAGCAGCTTTCACTTATCTTTTAGGTTCTTAGAAGTTTAATGAAAATCATCAACTCAGCACACAAAAAAACCCACCAAAATCAAACCTGAAATAGTTCCCAACAGAAACAAACACTGGAAAAACTTTGCTAACATATATAGCGTGAGCCTGCCAAACAAATGAGAAGCATGTGGCTCCAGTCTGGCCATAGCATATGCCACCTCTTGTCCAGTAGGAACACTTGTGGAGATACAAGCGAGATTAATTCAGCCGCCTACACAACACTTTGTTTTACATGGTTAACTGTCTCAAGCTGCTGAATTCAAGTAATTCCCTTTGGAGGAAACAGATAGCAGAGTGGAGACTGACAAAAACCTGGTGGAGGAATAGAGGGAACAACTAACAGCAGCAAGAGATTTTTCCAGAACAATTCCACTGCTTGTGACGATGGCCTCATTGGGGCTGGGGGATTTTAAAAAGTCCAAATGCCAGATGAAAGCAGCACAAGAATCCCAGGGGATCATCTTCCACCTGGCAGGAAGGGCCAGATTTCCCCAGCATCTTTCCAGGACAGAGCTTGTGTCTGCACCGTAACCCACCCATCTCCATAGGGCTTGCAAGTTGGAGGACAGCGTGTAGCAGCCCCAGGCCTCACTGTATATTGAGCCAGTTTACCTTAACAGGGAGGCTCCTCTCCTGCCCTCACTCCAAGTAACCCCTGGAGCAAACTCCACTGCCTCGAGATTCGCATTCCAGTGATTTAGGGTCATCAAAACTGCCATACGTACATCAGGGACTGAAAGGATCTGCATGTGAGAAGGCCCATTACCTCACCCCTGTGCGAACAGGGCCTAAACAAAGTGGTTTTTTTAACTTTGCTAGTAGCTCAAGTTTTCAATTATATCCTTCCTGCTGGCTGGAATTACACTTGGCCTTGGTTTTTTTCTCTGCCTCCTTACACACACTTTTCATTCTTGCTCCTTTTCCTTCCTTTAGAGAACAAAGCCTGGTTGCGGCACTCTGCACTTGCAATCAAAGCAGCAGCTAAAGGCTACAGCTTACAAATCTGTCAGCTCTCACAGGAACAGAGATCAAACAGATGCAGCTTTCCCAGCAGCAACGCTGAAACCCAGCCCCTGGCACATCCCAGCACACCTGAACTCCATGCTCTCCACTCGCTCCCCTGCAAAGGGGGCTGCCATTGGCTTTACCACCATTTCAAGAAGTGAAAAAGCAGAATTCCCTTGATCAAACCTGAAGAAAGGCTTGCAAAATGCATGTGGTTTGGGTTTTTTTTTCCTCCTTCCCCCAAAATGATATTAATTGTTTTATTAAGAGATTCTACATTTATCTACTCCACAGACTTTACACCTCCCCTCCACCAGCTGTTCCCTATCTCGGAGCATCTCCTGGTGCACCACAGCTCTCCCGCACATCAACAAAATTGCTTATTTCCCTGAGTCATCTCCAGCCCAGGAGTTCCAGACTAGGTCAGGAGCTCCCAGCACGACCACATTCACTGAACACTATCAGGTCAAACCTTCTGTGTAAGAAGTGTGGCACCGAAATACAGAAGCAGATCCCAAAATCCTTGCTGCTCACAAGCTGACAGGGAGCAGGTCTAATTCACTTCCAGAAATGGAGATTTTGCCACTTTCTTCTGGTCAGTAACCAATGTTTCCAAGAAAAGGAGGGAGGAAAGCAGCTCTGCATCTGGAAATTTAAATTTCCCAGTTCACTTGTGCCTAGCTGGCTCCCCAGAGATGACGGGAGAGACCTAACATTGTTATGGTGTTACCAACTCTTGTGCTTTACAGCAGACTAAAATCCATGAAGAAAAGAGGCAGATGTCTCACAGGAAGGGCTGCTCCATTAGAATAGCAGTTTGAGTTTAGCCAATTAGGTTGGATTAGGACAATAAAATGATTTATGGGAACACTTTAGTTTTCTTTGTTGGTAGTCAAGCTGACCGACACCGCACTGACGTGTTTAAAATTAATGACAGCAGTGCCTTCAGGAGTTAAATGCTTTCTTACTTGGCTGCCAGCCCTTAATTTCTTTTATAAAACAAGAACACAAGAAACACTCAGGGACATCAGACAAAAGATCTTGCAACTTAAGAGAAAAAGCCAGCTTTAGCTACCAAGGAAGGAATCCTTTCAAAGTGAAG